GGCTCGAACCCGCAGGCTCAGGTAATCCACTCACCTCAGCCTCCCAAAGGCGTGGGATTACAGGCTGAGCCACCGAGCCCAGCTTGATAGACACATTTTTAATTCTACCTTTGGTTACTGTAAATAACGCTGCTATGAACATTGGTGTAGAAGTATCTGTTTGAGTCCCTTTTCAATTCTTTTGGGAGTATATTATGGAGTGGAATTGCTAGATCATATGGTAACTCTACGTTTAACTTTTTGAAGAACTGTCAAACTGTTTTCTACAGGGAACCCACCATTTTATATTCATACCAGCAATACACAAAAGGTTCGATGTCTCCTGATGTTTACCAACACTTGTTATTTTCCAGTTTCTTGGTAACAGCTATCCTAATGGGTATGAAGTGGTATCTCATTGTGTATATGAATTATTTTTATATAATAGACTAATGCAAATACTTATCATATTTTCTATATGTCAGCTACTGTTCTGAACATATACATTAATTCATTTAATCCTTCCAAAAGCCCTGAAGTGAGCACTATCGTTACCCTCATTTGACAGACAATGAAAGTGCAAAACAGGTGAAAAAGTAGTAAATCGTTATATTAAAAAAAGGTAAAATACAGAGAAAAGTGGAATGAAGGTGAAAAACCCACAACCCAATCAAGAAGAGAAAACCAATATTAAACATTTGGATACCTCTCCTTCTAGTATTTTTCAAAGCATTCTGAAAAATCAAAAGCAACTACATACACTGTATTTTTCACTTATAAGCGAGCATCTACTTATGTTATTACAAATTCATTGTGGACATTATTCACAAAGGCTTCAAATTATTCTTTAATTCAGAAATGCCATCATGGACTTAAGCAATCCTTAGAGTTAGACATTTAACTTGTTACCTTTAAATCTGTCTTAAATATATTTTTAAAATAGGTAATCCATTTACATTATTCAAAAGTCAAAAAAATATTTAAAATTTTATACTGAAAATCTCCCCTGCCTCTCCCCTACCAACAGGTAACCAATTATATTTGGTTTTAAAACTCTTTCTAAGTGATTGTTTTTTCTTTTTTTACACAACTACCTAATATCCCATTGTATCACTATATGTCATTTCTCTATTGATGGACATACGGTTGTTTAAAATATTTTGCTGTTACAAATATCTCTGCAGCAAGTAGCCCAGTCTTTTCCCAAAAGTGAGACTGATTCTGCAAAGATATTTCTAGAAATAGATTTGCTAGATGAGAACCTCCACGTGAGCCTTCCCAGAGCACAAAAGACCAGCTTTCAGGCTTTGGTCCCCTCCCCTCCCTTGGGGAGGTAAATCCCATCTTTCTCTCTCTCTCTCTAATTTACTTTCTAAATAACTACACTTTCTAACCTAAAAAAAAAAAAAGATCAGCTTTCTAAAGGGCAAGAGCACCATTCACGATTTCTTCTACACACTGCCTCAGAGTGGTCATGACCTCCATACATCCAGATGTACAGATCTGGGAAATGCCAAAGAACATCTCCAAAGATTTGCCTTCAGTTCTATGAATTTTTATAATAGCCGATTTAACAGATTTAACACCTTTGTCTAGTAAGTCCAACATTTTGGCCTCCTTGGGGACAGTTCCCACTGATGGCTTTTTTTCTTGATTAAGGGCCATACTTTCCTGGGGTTCTTTTGCATGTCTCAAATTTTCTGTTAGAAAATAGACATTTTAAACAACATAATGTGGCACCCCCCCCAGATTTGCTGTTGTTGCTGCTTTTTGTTTCTCTAGTGACTTTCCTGAATACATTTTCTAAAGTCTGTATTCCTTATAGCGTGTAGCCATGGAAGTCTCTGCTCAGCTTAGTGGTCAGCTAAATGACTGGGCAGAGGTTTCCTTCAATGTTTTGAACCAGTAAGTTTTTCATCTTTGCTAAGGAGCCCGGTATGTGACTGGGCACACCTTCAACATTCAGGTAATGTACGTATCTGTCACAGCCTTCACCTCTTGACTGCACAGACCTCCAACAAAGCAAGAGATGAGAGCCTGAGGCGCTCTCAGGTCTTTCCTGCGCATGCATACAGTCCTGCGCACAGCATTCTAGACTCCCAGACTTAAAGTCCACTATGGACATCTCAATCCCCAGATCTTCCTTTTAAATGTCTTGCTAGGCTCTTATTTGTCCTAACTGGCATCAAAGACTCAGGATGCTAAAATGTCAAATAACTACAGCTGATAATTTCAGACAAACACTCTAGGGATGGAACTTTCCCCACAGAGGAATCTCTGACGAAGGTCGAACAGTGGCAGTGTTCTGGGGATGCCACAAATCCTACTGTTCTTACCAAGGTAGGCAGTGTGCCGAGCACTTCACTTCTGATATCCCGTTTAATCTTTAATAACCCTATGAGGGGAGAACTATCATTACTTTATTTTGCGGAATAGAAAATGGAGGCATAAAGAAGCTAGACTGGGTTGCTCCAGGTCTCATGGCAAGAAAGTGACTATGTTGGTTTGTGAACCATAATCTTCCTGATTTCCACAGTCTGCTCTCAATTATTGTACTATAGGGTAGTTCCTTCCCATTTGGGTTTCACTTTCCATGGCTTCAGTTTACCCTCAGTCCACCACAGTCCAAAAATAATATATTAAAAACCTAGAAATGCACAATTAACATGTTTTAAATTGCATGCTGTTCTGAATAGCATGAGGAAACCTAGCGCTGTCCTGCTCTGTCCTGCCTGGGTCATGGGTCACCCCTTTGTCCAGTGTCTCCATGCTGTCTACACTGCCCACCTATCAGTCACTTAGTAGCTGCCAACTGTCCCAGTATTGCAGTGCTATGTTCAAGTAGTTCTTATTTTATTTAATGGCCCTAAAGCACAAGAGTAGTGATGCTGGCAATTCAGATACGCCAAATTCAATTCCTTTAAGTGAAAAGGCAAAAGTTTATCATAGGTGTGTATGTTTGGGAAAAAAGCAGTATACATAGGTTTCAACTCTATCCATGGCTTCAGGCATTTGCTGTGGATAAAGCAGTTCTTAAAAGTGACTGCTGTACTATCTTTCATTTGTGAAAGAATAATTCATTGAAACTACATTTAGTTAAAAAGTATAGCTGAATATGAACACATGAGGAAGATAATTATATATAAGTTTTATGCTACATATACTTTATATGAATTATAAATGAGTTCTCTCACTAAATCAGTTGCTCTTAATGATGGTATGGATCTGAATCATATGGAGCTTTTCGAAATAAACTTGCAAAATTTCCCCTTTTCCTTATACTATCTAGGATGGAACACAGATATCTATACTTTTTTTTTTTTTTTGAGTTGGAGTCTCACTCTATCACCCAGGCTGGAGTGCACTGGCATGCTCATGGCCACCCCAGTCGTCAACATGCTGGGCTCCAGCGATCCTTCCGCCTCAGCCTTCCAAGTAGCCAGAACTACAGGCACACGCAACCAGGCCCAGCTAATTTTTTTTATTTACTGTAGAGACGAGGTCTTGTCAAGTTGCCCGGGCTGGTCTCGAACCTGCGGACTCAGACAATCCACTCGCTTCGGCCTCCCAAAGTGCTGGGATTACAGGTTGAGCCACCAAGCCCGGCCTGTACTTTTAAAAGTCCTGTAAAGTGATTCTGAAACTCAATCCCAGCCAAGAGCCACTGCATTACAGAACTCTTAAATGGGATTTTATCACTATTTCATCACCTAATTTCTACAGCAGGTATTCACACAGAAAAGACTTTTCTTAAAGAAAACAGCATACAGAAAAAAGCAGAAGCTTCAGAGCTAGAAAGACTTAGGTTTAAATCATAGCTCTCTCACTTGCTGTGTGGACAACCCGGAAAAATTAATTTCTCTGAGCCTTAGTTTCTTCATCTACAAAATGCAGGTTAAAAAAAACTACCTCAAATAACATATGCTGGAATGTAGCATACACTCAAATGGCAGTTGTTATATTATTTTGAAACTGATTTTTTAAAAACCTCATTAGATTCAGATATTCAGTAAATATTACTGGGTGCCAGCTCCGGATAAAGTCTACTCTGTGAGGTGACCTGAATGATTAACAGTCTTTCAAGAATTCATAATCTAATAAAGAACAGAAGCAATTCTCTCTAAAAAGGAAAACTGTTAAGAGCATTAACAAAAACAGGCAGAACTGCTATACCATGGGGAAACAGAAGAAGGAGAACTTACTTCTGCTCGATCTAGAAATGGTTCCTCAAAGTATAATGTGACTTGTGCCTTTAAAGAAGCATAGACAGATATGCTCCTTGGACTTAATTCTAGACCAGTGGTTCTCAAACTTGAACATGCATCAAAATCACAAAATCACATGGATGGCTTGTTAAAACACACACTGCTGGGTCCTATCCCAGACGTCTGACTCAGTAAGTCTGGAGGGGGGATCTGAGAGTGTGCATTTCCCAGGTGAAACTGATGCTACTGGTAAAGGGAACTCTCTTTGAGAACTACCATTTTAGACAGAGACAGTACTTGAACACAACTGACAGGTGATATAAAGGGTGTGCCTGAGGCACTGTGAAATGGCAGTTGTGGGAACATGGACTTTGTACATGCGGTTAAAGAATATGGCTGGAAGTCCAGAAATGAAAATTCTCTAAATAAAAAACCTTCAAGGAGATGTTACCCCTCTGTGAGCTGATATCCAAGGTTAGATTAGAACAACTTCACTACCCCTCTGTAACATGACATTTGTTAACTCTAACCTGGTGTCTTTTAACTCTATTCCCTACCTTCAGCTCTGCACGACCAGGTAAACAATAAGGTAATGAGGCCACAGTAGATTTCTAGACACAGAGTTATTTAAACACACAAAGAACAGAAAAACAGTGTCACTCTATTATTCTTCATAAGTGAGAATATAACACGAACACATCCTGAATTTTAATATTTTACCTAGCAAGTTATAGGCTAAAATCATTCAAAAACGTAAAAAGTTAAAACCTATTCGGTATTTTCACTTATGAATTTTAAGAAATGTTTCATACTTACCAAAACCATCAATATCTAGATGATTTTCAACCACAACATCTAGCAGAGAGTCACCAACTTTTCCTTGGGCTGTTAATGTCTCACCGTCGCGGTTTATAAAGTGCACAGTTACTTTATCTTCTGAGCTGGAAAAGAAAGCAGTGCTTTAGAATTTTTAGTCATTTCAAAATACACGCTGGGTACAGTGGCTCACACCTGTAATCTCAAAACTTTGGGAGGCTAAGGTGGTAGGACTACTTGAGGCCAGAAGTCAGAGATCAGCATCAAGATCCCCTCTCTACAAAAATTAAAAAAGAAAGACAGCTGGGTGTGGTGGTGTACACCTATAGTCCCAGCTCCTTAGGAGGCTGAGGCAGGAGAATCACTTAAGCTCAGGAGTTCGAAGCTGTAGTGAGCTGTGATCGTGCCCACGGCACTCCAGCCTAGGTAAAAGAGCAAGACCGTCTCTCTAAAAAAAAAATAATAACAGTAATAATTGGTTTTCGGACCTGTGATATCAAAGAAATAGCCAGTACGTGTATGTGTGTGTATGAGTGCAAGTGTCTGTGCTCTTTTATAGTATTTTATTTCCAAAGTTTATTTGTGAAGAAAACATCACAAATCTACCCAACTGCCAGGTGACAGGCTCTACTGTTTTAAAGGAAATGGCAATAACTACCTGGTCAAGGCCACCTGCTGGTATCTCCCAACAGTCAGTCATGTGAAAACATTTGGCAATTATCATCACTCATAAAATCTATTTCACTCTCGCATAGCTCTCTGAAAAACATGAGTGTGTCCCTAAAAGACCAGAGCAGGGTTGTGGTGAGCTCTAACCCTTTGCACTTGGAGACATCTTGCCAATAAACTACCAGCAATGCAAGCGCACTTTTCTACAAAATAGTGAAAAACAAATCACTTCTACTAATATTGAAACCAATTATTTCATTGTAATGATATTTGGCTTATAATGGAATTTTCAACATTTGAAAAACTTATTTATGACAAAAAAATCAAAATTTTTCATCCTATATTTTTCTAACTTGTGGTAACATGTGAAACAGTCACTGACATGCACTGCAGGTTCACTGATACATGTTGTGCAATAGTAGTTTGCTTGATGTCTTCCACCTGGTGCTTTTCTGTTCAAGAAAACAATGCAGTCACATTTTCTTCCTCCCACATTAATAGTATGTAATTTATTGCCTAGTCTGTGCACCACTGGGAAAGCACCTCACACATTCTCTTTCTACATAATGCCAGCTGATTTCTTTATGTATATCTCAGTATATATTCCATCTCTTCATTTTCTTTTTCATGCAATTTGAATGGAAGTCTTCAAGGAAACATACATTTCTGAAAAATTTTCACTGGCGTGAGTTTGTCCCGTCTAATCACCAGTTTGTCCTGCATAATCACCAGGAATCTTTTTATGGTCCCTGAGAGCAAACTGGTTTGCTGAATTGATGATGTCCCCTCAGAGAGGACATCGGAGTGCAAAAGGTTAAAAAAACCAAACCATTCTGCTATCAACAGAGCAACGGTTGTACAGGTGCCCGGCAGGGCACTATTGCTGAGAGTTAGTAGTTGGATTGTTTTCTGAATATCTGAATATCTCCTTTTGGTCCACACTGTATATTCAAATATTAGGGCGGGGGGGTGGAGAGGTGGGATTGACAGTAGTCGATATCTACCTGGGGAAAGGGGGGGCACACCTCATCGATAAGGGTAACTGCACAGTGAATATTTGTATACCTAGCCCTGATTTGTACCCCACAATCTTAAATAAAAATTAAAAGAGGAAAAAATCCCAAAAAACAAATATCAAAAAGACTGAAAAAAGTTGGGGTTTATCTGTCTGAATCTGTACAAAGATAAATAAAATACTTCCTTACACGTTCTATTATAACATATTACATCAGCTATCAGTTGGCTAACTTAAATTTCTTTCCCTTCTCACAAACATCCCTCTAAGATGTGATTTTAGAAATTATACTAGCAATTAGATCCTTATCCTTCACCACTGGTCATTTTAATTTTTACATCACAACAGAAAAGATGCTCAACTTAAATTAGTTGTAATTCTCACTATTACCAATAGATGGCAACAGTCCACTTAAAAAACTGTCTAATGTAAGTCAACCAATTAAATAATTTCAGAGCTATGAGTAGCTTGAAAATTAGCAAGTCCAATGATCTCATCACAAAGGAAGCCCTCCCCCCACTGGTTATCCCTAATATTATAACACTGATAAAAAGAGGATCCTATTAACGTCTCAAAAGTGTGTATATATGTATGTGAATGTCCTTCAAAAGGGCCTGCACCCTCCAGCTTCTGTTCATAGCAAAAAATGCTTTAAAACAAGCATTCCCAAACACTAGTCATGATTTTCAACTAGACAACTGCCACTTTTTTTCAAGGCAGAATAGCTGAGAATGGAGATACACTGAAGGCAGGGAGACCACTTTGGAGGTTACTAAAATACAAACTAACTTCTACTAGCAGGTAGAAGACATCGACTTCGGAGATACTCAGGAGATGGAATGAAAGGTTTTAGTGCCCATCTATATAAGGTTAAAGAGGGAAGAAATAACATTGAGATTTCCAGCTTGGCCAATAAGGTAGTGTCATTTAACCTAGGGTTAAGACAGAAGAAGGAGCTCTGGAGAAGACAGAATAAATTCAAGTCTAGACCTGCTTAACTTAATAATGAAAAAGCCAGATGTAAATATGGGTCTGAGCCCAGCAGAGAAGCCTAGCGATCTAACATAGACAAATGCCTGGTGACTAAGAGCTATGGGAAGCACAACAGAAAGAATTCCATCATTTACAAGGGAGACCCAAAAATAACTGGAATTATTTTTTGGAGGCCACAATATTCAGAAGAAACATCCCAAGAGCTGTGGCATACAGCTGACTGACAACGCACCTGCCCATACGCCACTGCGTGTTTAGCAGTTTTTGACCAACAATGGCATGCCACCCATGCCCCACCCTCCCTATTCACTGGATCTCGCCCCTGGCGACTTTTGTTGTTTCCCTGGATGAAAAAAGTTCTGAAAGGGAAAAGTTTTGCTGATGTGGAAGAGGCGAAACAAACAGCAGAAGCACTCAAAGGCACCAGAATTGACAAGTTCAAAAACTGATTTGAGCAGTAGGTGTACTGTATTAAGTGGAGAGCACTTTGAAGATGACTTTAATTTAAATACGTAAGAATACATACACAATTTTTTATAAATAAATTCTAGGCTGTTTGGGGTCCCTCCTCGTAGACACACTACTAAAAACCAGAGGTTTGGGGATCATCGTTCTGGAGCACCCAAGAACTAAGCTGACAGCAAAGGAATTCAAAAATCTCTTACGTCAGCCTCCTTTTCTGTAAAATCAGGACATTTATCTTATAGTTTTGACAATGTGCATGTGGAATGCCTAATACACAGTAGAACTCAACAAATACTGATTAACAACTTTCATTTATTCATTTGTTTGTTTGTTTATATATTTTCAGTCGGAGTCTCACTCTGTTGCCCAGGCTGGAGTGCAGTGGCACGCTCACGGCCACTGCTGTCTCAACCTGCTGGGCTCAGGTGATCTTTCCGCCTCAGCATTCCAAGTAGCTGGAACTACTGGCACACACCACCATGCCTGGCTAATTTTTTGATTCATTGTAGAGATGAGGTCTCGCCAAGTTGCCCAGGCTGGTCTCGAACCCAAGAACTCAGGCAATCCTCTCGCCTCAGCCTCCCAAAATGCTGGGATTATAGGCATGGGCCACCATGCCCAGTCAACAACTTTCATTTAAAGCCCAAGCGCTTTCCCTGCTAAGAAGACTGACCTGCTGAGATGTATTAAAGCCATAAAAAAACAAAAAACTACAAAAAACTGCTGACTGAAAGTATTAATAGGTTTGTCAATGGACAGGATAAGAAGTAGAAAGGAAAATTTTGCAGTTGAAAGAATACTGAATCTAAGAGTCAGAAGAGCATACACCCATCCGATGACCGTGGGAAGCCACTTACTTATAGGTAAAAAGGGATAACAGTGACTTCTTCAAACTGGGAGTTAAATAATTAAATATAATTTTAAAAATTAAAAGAAAGAATCAAAAGCAAGTGTGTGGAAATTCTTTTTCCTTAAAGCATTACATACACATACTTCACCCATGTGACTTCATTCACTGTTAACAATAGGTGTTGGCCGGTTTTGTAGATTTTTTTCCCCCTAATTCTAAGAACAAGCAAAAGCTTTCAGCTGTTTCCAAGAAGGATAAGATTTCATGCACTGGGAAATGCATACACACCTTTTAAGTCTTCTATTGTCACCAATTAATCAAGCATCACCACAAACGGCTGTTTTCTTCACCTGTGATCCCTGACCCACCTGTACCTGGTCCCATCCTTTACCTCATACTCTGCTCGGTCGCAGCAGACACCTTAACAAAGCTGTCAGGGGTTGCTGCCACACGTTGTTCTTGGCAGGCTTCCAATGGGGAAGAAGCTATAGCTTTTGATGCTCAGCCTCTCACTACAGGGTATAGCCCGGGGCCCTACCCAGAAAGAGCTTAGTCTGGGGCTCCCTACTTCCATCTCAACTCACCTCTCCCAAATGACTCACTGAACTATGGACTAAGAAATGATTATCTATTACGGTGCTCCAAAAAACAAACACTTGAGTTCTAGTCCTTCTTTGACTAGCTACTTAATATGAAACTTATTCCCACCTATCTACCTTCCCTACCTCATAAGATGGTCTTATTCCAAGTGAAATAATATATGCCAAAGCCTTTTGCAACCAAAACTGCAAAATACTAAGAACAGGGTAAGGGCATTTTGGAGTTAAGTTTTTTTTGTTGGTTTTTTTGGTTTTTTTTGAGTTGGAGTCTCACTCTGTCGCCCAGACTGGAGTGCAGTGGCCGCTCCCGGCCACCGCAACCTCAACCTGCTGGGCTCCGGCGATCCCTCCGTCTCAGCCTTCCAATAGCCGGAATTACAGGAACGCGCTACCACGCCCGGCTGATTTTTTTATTTATTGTAGAGATGAGGTCCCGCTGCCCAGGCGGGTCTCAAACCCACAGGCTCAGGCAATCCACTCACCTCAGCCTCCCAAAGGCGCGGGATTACAGGCTGAGCCACCGAGCCCGGCTAGAGTTAATTTTTTTGACTCTCAACTGCTAACTGTTAAACTTCAAAGTCAGAACTCTAGCTTCCAGAACTTTGTGCAATAACTAAGGCATTCTATACACCCCTTCAATGTCCAATACAGTAGTCGCCAGCCACAGTGAGGCTGCTGAATACTTGAAATGAGCCCAAGCTGGGCACGGTGGCTCAAGCCTATAATCCCAGCACTTTGGGAGGCCAGGGTAAGAGGACTGCCAGAGCTCAGGGGTTCGAGACCAGCCTGGGCAATTTGGTGAGACCTCATCAATAAATCAAAAAATAAGCTGGGCATAGTAGCATGTGCCTGTAGTTCCAGCTACTTGGAAGGCTGAGGCGGAAGGATCTCCTGAGCCCAGCAGGTAGAGGCTACAGTGGCGTGAGTGACAGAGTGAGACGCCAACTCAAAAAAAAAAAATAAATAAATTAAAGAAAGAAAAGAAATGAGGCCAGAGTAACTGGGAGAGTGAATCTTTCATTTTACTTAGCTTTAAGTACCTTAACTTCAGTAGCCATAGGTGGTTAACGGCTACTGTATTGGACATCATAGGTCTCAGAGAGTAAGAGCCGGAAAGTCGACTTGTAGCTCCAAAGTCTGTGAGAGGAAGGATAAGACCACCATTAGAAACCCGACCAAAGAAGGGGATGACAGGATGATCAGGGAGGAGAAAACACATGATCCCCTTTAAGACAATGTGGCATATTTAAATCCAAACAGGAAGTTTAAGGGCAATAATTCCCATTTACAAAAATATTTATGTTCCCTTAAATATTGGTTACACATATATGTTCAATATCCATCCCAATTTATTTTGCAAAAATGCATCTATTGTAGAAAGCAAGGCACCCACACAGACAGGTAAAAGGCAGAAGGGGGGGCAGGAGCAAATAAATCTGTTTGCCTTCTCTGTGCTTTCCCTCAGGCAGCAAAAATGTATTGTGCAATCACTACATAACAGGATCAGTAAGTCCCAGACCCTGTTCCTAGAGATCTTATCAAGAAGAAAATAGAAAAGCCAGCATACAGCCAGACATAGTGACTCATGTCTGTAATCCCAGCACTTTGGGAGGCTGAGGCAGGAAGACTGCTTGAGCTCAGGAGTTCAAGATCAGCCTGGGCAACATAGCAAGACCTCTTCTCTACAAATAATCAAAACAAATTCAGATGACGTGTTTGAACGTACTTATAGTCCCAGATATCCGGGAGGCTCAGGAGGGACAGGAAGAAGCCAAGTCTAGGAGGTAGAGCCATGATCGTGTCACTACACCCCAGCTCCAGCCTAGACAATAGAGTGAGACCCCGACACACAAAAAAAAGGCAGGACAAATCCAACACACCCTCCAGTTCTTGCTTCCTGCTTTTTCTAAAATCTGAAAGTATGACTATATTTTATCTCTAGTACGTCTAAGGGGGCTGTCTTTGAAAAACAAATATAGCCGGGCTCAGTGGCTCAGCCTGTAATCCCATGCCTTTGGGAGGCTGAGGTGAGTGGATTGCCTGAGCCCGCGGGTTCGAGACCCGCCTGGGCGGCAAGACCTCATCTCTACAATAAATCAAAAAATCAGCCGGGCGTGGTAGCGCATGCCTGTAATTCCGGCTACTTGGAAGGCTGAGGCAGAAGGATCGCCAGAGCCCAGCAGGTCGAGGCTGCGGTGGCCGGGAGCGGCCACTGCACTCCAGTCTGGGCGACAGAGTGAGACTCCAACTCAGAAAAAGAAAAAAAAAAAAAGAAAAATAAATATGCCCAAGAACATAAAACTTCTGCACATTCTGGGAGAAAATGTTCACAACTCTTTCAACATTCACTACAAAACCTTCTTAGTATTGTTACCCTAACAGTTGGCCGCTGCTGCTAACAGGTGGTGTCTTCTGAGACTTACTTTTTGCTAGACACAAGACTGCCTGTATCCCATTCGACCTCATTCATTCTTCAACTAATCCTAAGAGGTCTATTGTTTGTTTGTTTGTTTGTTTAGAGTTGGAGTCTCACTCTGTCACCCAGACTGGAGTGCAGTGGCACCGCAGCCTCGACCTGCTGGGCTCCGGCGATCCTTCCGCCTCAGCCTTCCAAGGAGCTGGAACTACAGGCGCGCGCTCCCAGGCCCGGCTAATTTTTTGATTTATTGTAGAGATGAGGTCTCGCCAAGTTGCCCGGGCGGGTCTCGAACCCGCGGGCTCAGGCCATCCACTCACCTCGGCCTCCCAAAGCGGTGGGATGACAGGAGATCTATTGTTAAGCTCCATTTACAAACGGGGAAACTGAGGTTTCTAGGGATCGAGGAAGTTTGACAAGTTAGACGGTAACTGCCCACGCCCAGTGTAAAGCCCTGCCTTACCACTCCAGTGCAGGAGCTTTGAACTCTTTACCGGCCAGAAGAACATACCGAGCAGCACGGGGGACAGAGTGGGTGCATGCTACCCGGGCGCTCCCTGGCCAAGAACTGGGGACGGGGCGTCTGCCATAACCAGAAGAGGAGTCCGAGAAGAAACGACGGGCGGGAGTGTCCATCCGGGGCGACAACATGGAGCAAGCCACA